AAAAAAATAACAATAGATGGAGGACCAATAGAGTAGAGGAAGAGGAGGAGTAGGAGGGAGGCGAGAGGGAAGGAGAAGTCACTGTGGACTGAAATGAAGCAAATTGTATTATGGGAATGCATGAATATGTCAAAATGAATCCAACTATTTATTTATAATTCATTAATAAAAACATTAAAAAGGGTCTCATAAAAACAGAAGGGAGAACAATGGAGTAAAGGAAGGGGATTGAGGAGGAGTAAGAAGGAACAAGGAAAGGGGAGAAATTCGAAATACAATTGACAAAAGCATGTAGTGTGCATATATAAATATGTCACAGTGAATTCCACTTTTATGTATAATACTTAAAAACAAATTAAAAGAAGGAAGACCAATAAGGTAAAGGAAGCAGGTGAGGGGGAAGGAGGAGGTATGGGAAGGAGGCATCACTGGAGATTAAAATGGAGCAAATTATGTTATATAAATGTATTAATAGGTAACCCCCCCAATATTATGTGTAACTATAATGCACTAATAAAATGTATATAATTAAAAAAAGAACAATAGGGTGGAGTAATATGGCTTTTTGTATGCTTCTGATATCCTAAATAGATTTATGTACTAAAGCTTTCTGATCAAGCCTGTTGAGATCTTGGAGAAGCAGGCAATAGGTAAAAACATCAATGGTACTTAAAATACTTGGTCGTGCTGAAGAGAGCAAATGTTAAATCTACTGGAATGGCTGCATGGCTCAGTCGTTACATAGGTGCCAAAAATATTCAACTTCTGATTCTAGTCCAGGCACTTAGCTGTGTGTCCTTGCAGAAGCTGTTTCACTTTTCTAAGTTTCAGTTTCCCCATCTGTAAATTTTCTATGCAGACCTAAGAAGTTCATATGAAGCATGCTTTTCTAATTGAGTACTTTTGGTAAATACTAAAATGATCAAAGTTCTTCACTTAAAAATATCCTGTCCTGGCTTCCCTCATCCATTTGTTTATACAGCCATCTATTCATCTATCATTCATTCATCCATTCAATAGCATACTCTTGCTTGGCATTACAGTTGGAATTGTGATCAAAAAGATATTATCTCTAGGCTGGACTTGTAGCGCAGTGATAGAGCACTTGTCTAGCATGTGTGAGGCATTCGGTTTGATCTTCAGCACCACATTAAAAAATAAAGTTGTTATGTTCATCTACAGCTAAAACAAACAAACAAACAGACAAACAAAAAGAACATAGTATTTCTGCACTCCTGGACCTTACAGACTAGAAAATAATACATTAAAAAATATAACCATTATTTTGGTTATACTATGAATGACAAAACACAGAATACTATGAGGGAACATAATTAGGTGGTCATTTTTTTTTATTCCTCTGTTCTTGAAATTCCATTTTTACCATTCTCTACCTTTTCAGCTTTAACTTTTCACCAATAATACTCTACAGTCTGACTAATTCTTACCCTACCTCCAACTTTGACATTTTCTCAAAGTGGTTAGGATAAACAATGAAACTCTAATTATTTATTCAAATACTTTAATTCTTCGTTTTAATTGCTCTCTGCAGCATTTCACATTGACAACAACCTGTTTCTTAAGATATTCTCTTTCCATGAATTCCACAGATATTTTATTTTTCTTATTGTTCCATCTGCATTTGCTGCTCTTTAAATATTGGGAGGACCTTTAGAGTTTACTATTTGAGCCCCTATATTTCTATATAATCAATGATAACCTATGTGATAAGGGTTGCAAAATCCAGAGGGTGGTCCTGAATTCAGATGCCTTGACACTATCAGCATTGATTTTATTTTAGATGAGAATTTAACCTAATTCAAAACTAAAATTATAATCTCCCTATTCT